AGGTCACTCATCAATTATATTCTCAACCAGATAAATGATTCTGAAGATAATGTCAAAAACACTGACACCAGTTTCTCTGTTATTTATAATAGTTGATAACTTAGGACGAAAGACTTTTTCTTGACCCAACAATCAGATCACTTTTATTTCATCAATTAGGGTCACTGTGTTCAAGGCAAGCTGATTTATACGCTCCAAAATTAATTTTATCTATCGATCTTTCGATCATATGACTTGGTCGCCCTAAAACCTTCAGATGCCTCAATACATACAGACTAAGTTTAAACTATCTATGATACAAAAACCCTACCGTTATAGCATCCTCATGAGTCTTGAACTTGCAACTAGAAATCTCATATGCATCAATTTCGTGTATTTGATATGACACACGTCAGCCGTATAACAAGATGAAATACCTCTGTCACCTTAAAGAATAACTTTTTTCAGCCTTAACACACTCTTTCTAAACAAAAAGTAACATACTTTACACAGTGCTGGATATGAAGCAGTTGCCTGCCGAAGACAGTCTGTGCGATCACGCAATATTGTAGGCTACCTGAAGTTGGACATTAACACCGATGGGTCTCATCTCAATGATCATAACGTTAAGCGTACACATTCCAGACTGAAAGTTCTGGGTTCGATTCTCGCTTGTAGGAGGTCGTCAATGAGCATAGCTGTTGCGCTCCATATAAGGATTAAACGGCCACCCAGAGCTTCTAGGTTATCAAAGGTGTTCTTACATTGATCGATTCATGATTTCTATTAAACTCTACGATCTTCACAATCCTATAATAAAGCATTTGATAAACCTAGTCTCTCGAATTCATATTCTGTAAGTAAAATCTCTAACTAAGACGCTTAGATGTGTGTGTCGTAAAACTGATTATGAAACATACTTAGAGTTTGATGAGGTCTTTGGATCCTAAAACGTTAAACAATAAATCCTATAAACTTTTATGTTCATTGTTCTTATTCTGTTTTGGCACACTAAAAAGTGTACGTACCCTGACCAGGTTGGCTAAATAAAGTCTTCATTTGCAAATTACATGTGCTAGTTATAACAATAAGTTTCATCTGCTATTGACAGCAAAACTCAAAATCTCAAATGAAACGATCTCTGTATTATTCTTTTCATGAAAAGACTACTTTAAATGGAAATGCTTTCAAATAATGTTGTCTGGTGAATTCGTCTAGATGCAGACTGAAGAGCAGAATATAAATAATTTTGTATAACTGAACCACAGAAACGTTTTTACTGAGATTCAAACCTTGCTCACTAGATATACTTGGTAGAACAGTTATTCAACTGCAAGAAAAACTGTTAATCAGCCTGTAAACGGATTCCATTATCTAGTGTTTATTCACCTAATTCTAATCAACATTTAATGTTGACGTTTGTGTTGCTGGCTTATAATTTTATTGATTTCAGTTGCTTCTTACTACTGCAATTTACTAAAAGATAACTGTATATTTCAACCTCCAGATTTATTACACTTCGTCAGTTTCTGTACTTCTACCAAAATAAACTTATGTATTCTCATAACTAAACTTAACTACTAATATTTTCTGCAATGTTCTTATGTGGTTTCTTTTTACCAGTCATTTTCGATCAGATTTTCTGGGCCAGCTAAAAATAGTCCTTGTATAGTAACATCTTTCTTCAGAACTTGTACTAGTCTTTTTTGTTAGGACTATCAGAAAAATACAGCTACTATACAATAATTGTTAGTTTTCTGCCAGTATCCTACTTGTTGTCTTAACTGATTCTTATATGATGTTAGCTGTATGTGTCTAACAAAGAGCCTTGAAGTAAAATTGAGAGTTTTATGGAGTCATCGACGATTTGTAAGCAGTTTTCTTCAACGATCGACATCAATTGCAATTCTGCTGAATATCGAAGTGCGATTCTGAGTCATAATGTCTCATTTTGCGAATTTTAAGCAATGCTTTAACATGATACCACTATTATTTGAACCAAAGATTTTCAGCCCTTGCTTTTGGACAGTGATATAGCTGGCTGATTATTCTATTTCTTTGGTTAGGACTGATTTATTACCGTTTTGGTTAAACCTCTGACTCTACTAAAATTTCAGAAACCCGGGTAGAAATTAATCAACTTTGATGGATTATTAGGATGTAACTTATGCTTGATACGGTCATGAGTACATAGTATTGATGGATATGCTGGGATGGATTCTTGAGAACGAGACTGACCTAAACATATTTTCAATACTTTTCACTTTTCAATAACTATCTGACTTAGATCAATCCATGATGGAAAGACCATGCATTGAAACATCGCTTAAAGTTTTACAAGTCCTTCAAAAAATCATTCTCAATCGGCAAAATTTGTTGAACAGTAAAAATTATCCGAATATTTACTATTTTATTATAAATATTGACCGAAATAGTCACCTGAAACCACATCAATATTAGACATGACCATACAAAATAGTACATAAAAGAAATGTCATAACTTTTACATTATAATCGAGGAGTTATTTTAATGAAAGACACATTTGCCCGTCAAGTAATTTATTCTTCAGCATATTATTACTGTCTGTGTACTAGTTAGTTGTATGCTCAATTCTAAAATATATATAATACAATACTTTCTAATTAATCTTCATGTGATCTTGTAAAAAGTCAGTTGAATAATTATTCAGAAAAGTCGTAAATATTTTAAATCTTGTGACTAGACGTAAACTCTCATTTCACTGCCAGGTTTCTTAACAGCTAAACTAATCGTACATACAGACTCTTGAGTAATTAATAAAAAAATGCTGATATAAACAAAATTTTAATTGTTCTTTTTAAACATTAAATGTTACTCTGTGACTTCTGATCAGGAGTTATACCTAACTAATTATTAAACTTACGTTTTATTTGCAAGGTTGTTAAATAAGTGAGTAATAAACGATCCCATACTAATCTTTCAAATTTAAAAAATCACTAATAAAAACATACAATGCTATTCAATCTCCATTTGATCAAACCCTTCAAGACTTCAGTTCCTAAAGTTTAAGATCTGGTCATTGATTTGTATAAATAATTGATTTATTCTTGTTATTTAGTTTGTAGCAGAACAGTTTTAGTTGTAGATCCTCTAGTTTCATCCTTTTGTTTTGCATCATGAAGCGTATGACACGGTCACCAACTTCAAAACTCCACATGTACTTTAAGATTAAGTGCGACTTGAACTTTGAAATCTACTTCCACACTATTCCATTAGACAACAAAAGTATTTTAAAGCAAATATCATTCGTTTGTGATGGTGACCATATCGCTAATCATCAATGAAAACAATCGAATCAATAATGAGTTTATTTGAATGAATTCCGTTGGATATAAGATCAGCTGTAAACATGTTATCTTTATGTTGTTGCAATACTGAACAGATAACCGACCGCTGAATATGATTTACACATTTATATTAGTATTTTCAATCATCTGATTACTGAATTCACTAGACTAATTCATTTGATTTACTGTCTATATTACTGATCAACATAAGTGTTGAATACCTCATTGGCTTTTGCCTGTATATATATATATATATATATATATATATATATATATTCAGTTATTTTTAACGGTGGTCTGCCACCGTAAAAATGTCATACAACCTTTTGTGTTGATGACACATAGAAACTATCAGCAAAATTATTTTCTATAAAAACATTCTTGATTTAAAACTAACTTTAATGGAAGTTGTGACAGCGCCTATCATATGTGTTCATTGCCATCTCAAAACAATAAGGTTAAAATTTTACTGAACAATTTTTAACTACAGATATGTAAAATTAGAGAAGTAGTCATCAGTCAGAAATAGTTCTAAACCACAACAGAAATCCTACTTATCTAAGGAAGTCAATAATCTTTCACTGATTGGAATTTCATAAATATGTAACTAATAAAATAATAGTGCACACAAAAATCAATAAATGCTGTAATCCGTAAAGCCTTTTGTTATCTATCAACCAAATAATTAGTCAAATTTTTAAAGTAACATTTATTATTGAAAAATGCATCTAATCTATTTTTGATTTTAGATTGGGTGAACAATGTGAATCATGGATAAAGTTTTATAGTTATGAACTCTCACATTATCTGATTTTTTCGCAAGCCTTCTTCACGTTTCTCATAATTGGAATGTTGAAGACTTGTTTCACTTGAGCTATTTTTTATGACTCAATGTCACTTTTCCACACGAACTGACTTTGAATTAGGAATCGAGGAATACAGATCAGCTATTGTGTTCTAGTTTATAGCTGTCAGGTGAAACACACATGACATCAATTTTTACTGAACTCAGGGCCTTTAGGACTCACAGCGTCCACGCCTAAACAGCTTTAATCCAGTGACACAGATTACGATTGTTGCAGTTTTGACATGATGAGCACTGTAACTTTTCAGGCTACTCATAAAAACTCCTCAAATCCATTTTGAAGTTTGCCACTAAAGTGTTTATAATTACTAAGATGAATATGTATGGGATCCATCAGTCTGAAGTTTGTTGTCATTACGTACTGATATCCATTCCTAGCTATTTCATGTTTTTCTAGTCATTCCTAACATTTTAATATTTCATTCTACAATCGGCTATGTTGCTTTAGAACTATTCCTATCAGGTCACATTCTATAATGCCAGTTGTTTGACTGTTTCCACTTTTCTACTTTTCGTCTTGATAATATCCTTTGACTGTGTATATATAAGTTGTGCGAATTTAGATCGATACACATCTGTGACAATTTCCATATTAAATCTAATTGGGTAATTGACTAAGATTAGTGTATAAAGACAATGTAACAACGTTCACAATAACTAAATTTGATGTGTGACTTCAGCAATTAGTAGTTTTATAAGTGATTGTTTTGAAGAAAAAATATTTACAAAATATTTAATTAACCAATGAGATCAGTTATAAATAAATCATTGGTTAATATATTTTATAAAAGTTAACCACATTTAAATTGCAGATTCCATTTACTTCTCAATGGAAAATCCGTTAAATATCGTAGACCGTTTAAATTTATCAAATCAAAATGTCGACAATCATAGCGCTAGTGAACATGGTTTTGAGGTAAGAAATAACACAAACTGCTTCTTGTAGATAGATCATAATATTTCAAGTAAATTTTTATGATTACAATGACATATTATTTTTTGCAAATGTGCGAGCAGTCCGACCAAATAATATGCTCTATGTAAACAAATGAAAGCTTGTATACACAAAGTCCAAAAGAAGAAGACTTATTTTTTTCCAAATAAATAAAACACATGGAAGATATAAACTAATATGTTAAGTTTAGAATTTTGTATCATACACGTTTTCTTCTGTATCGATCGGTTGTACACATTGCAAGATAGGATGTAATCATATTTAGAACAGTTGACTAAACAATTTAAAAATAATCGATTTGTGATAACTAGGTATCTCTGTTACAAAAGACTAGTGTCATCTGTGTATTTGTAATGTTTATGAATCGGATTTGAAAGAAATCATCTAAGTTATTTGACATTCTCACAGAATTTCAGATGCCTAATGAATGTCGGTTTATGATTTATTATGTATCACATACTCAAGAAATTTTTACATAGCTATTATTTAAGTTCATTCAACATATTTGACTTTAGAAAAGAGAAAGACCTATCAATAATGAAGTCTCGTTTTAACATATATAACTGTGAAACAAACGTAGAATTCATAAATACATATTACTTTATAAACCCTTATAGTCTGAACAAAAAGAATCACCTGAAAGAAATGTGGCCCATGTTAAATTACGAGTCACTGCAGAGAAGTCTATGTTCCAGTCTGCATTAGGTGGAATCATTTCCTGTCTTGGTAGTGCAGTGGGAACTGGGAATATTTGGAGATTTCCTCGTATTTTGGCAACACATAGTTATTCTTCCGGTATGTACATTTGTATTCTGCCTTTTTAAAGAGATAATAATATATATGTCATTATTCACTGTGAATTTTAAGAAGATTTCTCATTGTTTTTAATGGAAAAAAGTATTTTACACAAACGTATAACCTATGTTTCGTGCTTTGATGACAGACATGTGGCTCTATAAATCTAAGTTTGAACTTTAGTTGCTGCAGTATATCCTTCATTATCCAGCAAAAATGTTAATGTTACTTAAATTTGTCCTGACCCGTCATTTGAAAAATACTATCAGTGATATATTTATATACTTTAAAACTGCAAAAGCCAGCAATTATCTATAGCCAGTCTTGTGAATTTTCTCATACTATCGTTTCTGGCTTAACTTCTTTATTCATGAGTGTTAAAACAGTAAGCAGTGGATAACCATTAGTTTTTTCAAAGTTTACTTCTATCAGTGATCGTTGATTTCTCAGTGAATAATTAACTCATCCTGTTGAGAACCTTTTGCATCATATCGACTTTTTTTAAAACAATATTCATACATTTAATTATGTGATTACTGCATTCTACATTCTAAAGTATATTCATCTGAGATTTGGTAAAATATTCAACAAAGAAGACTTTCAGTTTATCTAATTTCATGAGTAGATTGGGTTGTTATAATCATGAGCATTTATCAATATACGTTTCTGATGTGTGCATTTATTTCTCGGACGTTCTTATGCCATGTAATATTTTTTCATTTTGAGTGAATAAAATGCCTGCCTGTATATGAACATTTGTTTAATAAAAGAATCAAAAGTAATCAGAACTTCCACTAATTATTGAATAAAATTCATTTGGCTACTTTAGAAGACTAAATTATTTCGATTATTCAGTCACCTTGAGAGTTTATAATTAAGATTATTTTCGTTTATATTTATCAGCGTGAAGAATGAAGTTCTTTTAGTTGATTGCTTTAAAACACTTTTTTCTGTACAAAAGTTTCTTAAGACTAAGATACAAACTACTCCATTAAACTACATAATTTTTTTTGTCACTCATTAGAATACCGAATTGATATTTGCTATTCAAATCAAATTTTAGAAAAATGTTAGCGGTTGTTTTGATGATTTAAGAATCAATGTGAAATAAAGCATAATTTTTCAATACATCACTTAATTAAGTGATACATTTTATTTATAAAGTAAAATCTATCTAAGTCTGCGTATTAGCAATGATAATTATGTTTATATCAGAGTTATTGATTTCTCAATTTTCATAAGCCACAGCAAAGATCATACATGAGTAAACTTTCATTTTTTATTATAATATATTTTTTTAGGTGCCTTAACATTTTATATAGTATGGTTGATTATTCTATTTTTATGGTCCATACCGATCATCATAGTCGAATATTCTGTTGGTAGATTTACAAGAAACTCTGTTACGCTGGCATTTTGTAAATTTTTTGGACAAAAATTCTTTTGGTTAGGAGGATGGATGGTGGCTGTAGTTTTCTTTGTGAGGTTGGTTTATTGTTTTGTTTTAAACATTTCTTTCTAACAAACATTTTTGATAAGTTTTCCACTAATTCATCATGACCATGATTTCGGTTTTCTGTTGGCTGTCAAGAAAACATAAACTGTTGATTTTACTGAATAACCAATTTTTTGTGGGTGAATGAATGCTTATGGTTGTACAAGTTATCTACATAAAGTATGTTATGACATTATGAAATTGAAATTTAGCAGGTATTTGTTTAGGATTTAAGATTTTTAAACTCCAATGATAACGAATCTAGCCTTAGCTAGGCTTTAAATGTGTCAGCACTCAATAGGGAGGCTTATCTGTGACGACAAAAGAAACTAACTGATTATCGTAGATTTTAAAATCAAACTGATAATCAACTATTGCTGCAGTGAATCGTATTGTTTCCTATCCGTAAAAATCATTTTTTCCCTCCGGCTTTTCAGCAAATTTGCAACCGAATGTCAGAAATCAACGGATCTAGATCATGTAAAATAACTCGTTATTTAAAGACTAAGGTTAAACGGTACTGCATAAACATGTTATTGATACACCTTTGTGTGAACCGGTGAATTAATTGACTTCTCCAGTATTATTATTCATCTACATTGGTGTCCGAATTCGTCATGCAAACCTTATCAAGCTATTTATCATTTATTTGATTTCCGCAATTGTTCAGCCTTATTTCAAATATTACTGGACATATTCGATACACAATAAACTATACAACGATTTCGAGTCGACTAACAGTTGACTCGTGCTGAGATTGTTAAAAAATACTATTTTGTTAAAAATGGGCTAATTTGAAAATAAACTTTAAATCCTTTGATTAGATTCCATGATGAATCTATGCGCCTAACCATTTATAAGTTCTTCTATGAAACGTGACAACGTGTCTTAGGATCAGCCGTTTTGATTTCAAAAATCTAGAATCAATTAACTATCTTCGCTATTAGTCAAACTTGTTTAAATTTATTTGACTGCCTAAATGAAAGTTATTGTAGGGTAGGTAGTTGCAGGCTTGTTTTTAGAGAAAATATTTCGATCGTATCTATTGTAATTCCCCATAGTATACAAATAAAACACCACGATGAATCATTTTACTCTTCCAAATATTGACTGAAACATACTCAAATATTTGTGATCTTTAGTTGGATGTATTATTATTAATAATATTCCAAACATTTGCTTTTCATTATGTACGCTTCAATATGATTCCAGTTAACTGAATACTAGTAAATTATGTTCGATTTATAAATACAATAATATTTTGTTTCACTTTTTTCTTATTTAGTGGTTACTATCCCGTTATACTCGGATGGTGTATATACTACCTTTATTTATCATGTACCCTTTCTTCTTTACCAACTACAGAACAGGATGGTTTAGAAATCTTTCGTAACTACACAGAAGTACGTTTATTAGTAACTTTGTAAGCATACGTATATAATTACTTGAGAGAGACAAGTATATAAGACTCAAAATTTAATATTCTTAGTATATTATGAATTACACCGTATATTTAAAGCGACGTTTCATAATGAATCCATAGAAAACACTTACCATGTACAATTCCCAATAGTCGGATTTAAACTGCACTGGTATATGCTGACTAGTTATACCGCCCAGCTATTCTAAATATGGTAGGGGGAGTTCGAAGTTGTAACCAAGTGACTGAAACCTAAATTTTCCAACTTCTAAGCCACTGCTACAGTATATCATGAAATCTAGGCAATAAAACTCCACTATAATCGCAAGAAGTATAGCTACCATATATATATTTGATTCAAAAGGAATCTAATTTAAAAGTTTAAGATCGTCTTAATATGTTCATTTTACGGATAAACTGTATATTTGAAAAAAAATCTAACTAACTTTTAAAATGAATTTTAGGGTTATGTCATGGATTATTTACAAAAATACTTTATCTCACTTTAAATGAATTCTAGAGATTTTATTCTATCTATATGTATATATACCTGTCACAAACGTAACATATTCAATAAATCAAGGATGTTCAATGAGAAGCAAAGAGGAATAAGTAATGCATTCTCTCTTTGAGATAGTATTTCATTATTCGTCATATACAAATGCTGTAAACTAACTCTTACAAAATATGTCAGCTGTTAGATGATTAACAACTATCCAATGAATAATTTACTATAAGATTTGAAAGATATCATTAAATTAGTACTGTTTGTAAACAAAGACCACAATAGTTTTACACGCATAAATTTTATTATTCGCTTCAATTTTCTAGCTAAGACTCTGACTAAATGCAACAACTTCAGTTACATATCTGTAGCAATATTTCAATATACGTCAACATCTATATGTCCATTTAACATTATTTCTTGACTCACTTTCATTCATATCTTTTAGCATTCATACTGGCCAGTATTCACTCAAGTTCTAGCAGTTACACTAAGTGGTATCTGTTTACTAGGTGGAATCAAATGGATTGAAAAAGTCAATATGGTTCTAGTGCCACTACTTTTATTGATTGTGATTTTTACATTCGGTTGGTCATTAACAAGACAATATGCTGAAGTTGGCATAGCATTTCTTTTCACACCATCATGGAGTAAGTAATGCAACAACTCACTATATAACATATATGGAATACTTGAAATGTATTTTTTTTTTCTACAACGTTACACATTAGAATAAAATAAGAATAATTTCCAAGAATATTATTCATTTGGATAAATAAATTATATTTCTATCCCTACTTATCAGCCACAATGTTTATAAGTTTAGCGATGGCTAATTCTGCGAGAAAATCAGTAAAACTACTAAAGAGCGTCAATCTTATCAAACAGTTATATAACTTTAAGTATACGTCTTAACAACAAATTTAGTTTTTAGTTCATTAAACCGAATGACATGTGAACAATACTCAGTTGCATAACGCAATAGATGGTAATAGTATTTTGAGATTAATACATAGACTAAGTGTTATATACATTTAGCTGCTTGTGCTTAACATTTTCTTTGACAAATTTTTTGAACCCCGAATTCATTTATTTGATGACTGAAAATCAAGAATGCTTATGAACACAAACAAACGAATCTCTATGAATAAAAATTCTGGTTACGGACGAGGTTAAATTTCTGTACAATGCACAAAAAAAGAACTTCAACTTAAAATCAGCTTGTAAGGTTTATGGTTCGCAAGCATGTGAGGTGAACCAAGTAACTTATATCACTTACTAGAGTTCACTCAGCATAGTGAGCAAACTAAAGATTAGAATGGTAGGATTCACTAAAATATCAAGAAAAAATACATGTCCGAGTGATATACAACAATTAAGATACTTGGCTGATAGATGAAGTAGTAAATCTCAAAGGTAATTTCATGTTATACATTTAAGTCTGATATATTTTTCTTATTTTAGAAAGCATTTTAGATCCAAGTATGTGGATTGCAGCGGCTGGACAAAATGCATTCGACACTAACGCTGGTATGGCTGTTCTGGCAACTTATTCTACTTTCATGTCTCGCGAGTCTAGAATAGTTTCGTACAGTCTACTTATTCCTATTGTCAACAATGTCGTTAGGTAAACTGATTACTAAAATTTGGTTTATTTTAATATCTTATTTGTCAAGATTCGTAATGATAGCTCTTTTAACGAGAAATGAAACATATAAAGACTTTTGTACCATAAGAGTGAATATTAATGACTGCTAACAGTTAACTAATCCTGAAACTGTCCATATTGTTGCTTATTTTTGTCCTTGTAATATTAATTCTAAGATAATTAAACAGTATAAAGTTTATTTTGATGTTTGACATTAAAAAATAGCTTCTAAAGTAAATCTAATGTAGCCCTGAGTGCTAAAGTCGTCCATATATTCTGTTCATAATTTTCAGTTCATCAAAATAACTTTTTTAACATTTTTATTTATTTTGCCAATAGTTTCTTTGCATCAATTACAATCTTCTCAACTGTATTTTCAACAATTATACAAACAAATCCAACAGCTACACGTTCAGCCATTGTACGAATCATAAAAACCTCTGGACCTGGTAGTACAGGACTTACTTTCACATGGTAAGATTTATTTATATTATATTATTGTGTTATTCTAGATTACGATGTTTGAAAATTATTTAAAATAACTTTGATTTCTACGTTAACAAGTGTTAGGTATGCTTATTATTATAACACTTAAAATTGTTAGTACGTCAGTATACCAGAAAGGTGTACATATCACACTGAAGTGACAGTGTTGTAAGAAGAAGATGAAAAGAGTATGTAAGCATTAAGATTTATCAAAAGATATAAGTCCATCAAGAAGCCATATATTAATTACATGCTAATTCTCACACGTTATGAATGTTCAACTGTAGAAAATAAAATAACTGATGTAAAGCGAGACAAAGGAAAATGAGGTAATTAAAAATGGCATTGGTTTCTAACTAAATAAACTTTAGATTAATTTAGTTTCACAGTACATAAGTTTACAAAAATAAACAGAGGAACATTATTCAATACTCAAAAAATATATATCTTGAGTTGATTGAATGAAAATGAATAGCACAGATATAAATCTATGTATTAACCCAAGAGTACTTTTCTTGAAGGAATATTATGGCATATTGCCTTTCGAAATGTTATCCATTCAATAAATCTCTAATATTTTTCACTTTAGGATACCGGTGTTATTTTCAAAAGTTGGTATAGTTGGTCGTGTTTTATGCGTCTTATTCTTTTTATGCCTCGTTTTTGCTGGGATAAGTTCTCTGTTATCATTAACTCAGGTTCATGTTCTTGTCATGAAAGATTTTAATGGTGAGTTATTCAGTGGATACATGATTTTAATTTGAAATAGTATAGATTAACTGTATTAAAACATTTGCTCCTTGACAATATAACAATAATCTCAATAGCTAATTACTATTATCAGTGAGCCAATGTCTTAAATTCCTTTTATAAAAACTAAAATGAATTCTCAAGCTTAATGTCAAAGCTGATACAATCATACAGTCAAACAGAAAATAATTTTTTATTCAAAGAAAGTTCACCTTGTAAATTTCAAAATTAGTTATCGAAAAAGTCAAAATAAATAGCGATAACCTTCTGAGTCCGTAATTCTCGGTAATTTTTTCCCCTGAATCCTAAGCTATAGTTTCTTTTTAACCGGTTTGTATTACTCATAATTTACGTTAGATAAATGAGATTTCAGTGTAATAGTGTTCGCTAGAACACTGATTAGGGAATAAGAGTGACAATAAACTGTTCATAAATTATTTTTTATCAATCCACAACCAGTTTATGAAAAATAATATTTGAAATCATCAATCAATCATTGTTAGACCACCATTAGAAACCTGGAAGCTCTGGACGGCCGTTTCGTCCTGGTATGGGACTCATCAGCAGTGCGCTTCGTGAGGAAATTCTCGGAGTTCTAGTTGAGAAGACGTGGCCAATATATATATATATATATATATATATATATATATATATATATACAACACAAAATCACACAGTCTCCTTTCAAAAATGTTCAATTATTAGAAAGTAATAAGTAAAGGTTTTAGTTTTTTTAATAAGTTGATCTGTTTCGCACTTCATAATCCACTGAACCTTTATTTCTTTGAGAAATATTCAATATCTTTGTACTGGAATGTTTCATACTTTAAACAACTGATTTGACTTGCATAAATCAAATTGAAAATTTAGTGCAATAACTAAACTGCTTTTTAAATAATTAATACTGAACTGTTAAGTTGTCCAAAGGTTTATTAATCTTCATAAACATAATTAACATTTTGTTTTGGATATTTTGAATTCAATTTTCATGTTTAATAAATATTTTTTTCATTATAGTTCCGCATCGTTTAGCTGTTGCTATTGCTCTATTAGCTTCAATGATTATTGGTCTTCCATCAGCAATTAAACTGGAGTTCCTCACAAATCAAGTAAGTGAGTTTGATGATGTCAGCAAAATAAACATTTTCATCATAATCATGACATTAGATTATCTTTTATCTACATTTTTTTGGTAATCCTTTTAGGATAATACATGGGGCTACGGTCTTATAGTATCTGGATTTTTGTTCTGTCTAATTGTCATTATTTATGGACCGAATCGATACAGGCGTGTCCTAATAAACGACTATGGTATAAATGACTGTAACCTGAGTGTTATTTGGGTTCCAATAATTGCGTGAGTTTCATCTGAATTTGTTTTTATTATGGTCAATCATTCTAATCGTTTAATGCTGAAAGAAATACACGTCTGACACTTTGGTCACTTCACATGCCGAAAGTGTTAAAAATGTCAATATATGTAACACAACTAATTTTGAGTAAATTTTACAAAAATCTTTACTTCAGAAGATGATGATCAATTGAAATGTGAACTGTTTAGATAGGCTTTTAACTAATTCCTTGCAAAATAATTGCAAGAGTCTCTGAAAAATTAGTTTACTCGTTATTATAAGTTATAATTTCTACGAATGTTGTACTCAAACTGTAATAATTCTATAACTAGAATTAAATAATGGCAAATACCTTTATTCACATCAATATTATCAAACTAATTAGATAAGGTTAAATCTAACTTGTAAAGCTCAAAGAAAATTTACACGGTCTATAAATATTACTATACTTGTAGAATCGTTGATTTCACTGGCGAAATAATCATATTACTTACTTACGCCTGTTACCCCCAATGGAACACAGGCCGCCCACCAGTTTTCGCCAACCAACTCTGTCCTGGGCTTCTGTCTCCAGCCCTGTTCGATTTTTGATCATTCTTCTCGTGTCTTTCTCTTTTTCTCGGCGTAATGTGCCCTTTGGCCTTCCTGTTTTCCTTTTGCCTTGAGGATTTCATATGAGGGCTTGTCTTGTAATGCAGTTAGGTGCTTTCCTAGTGTGTGCTCTATCCACTTCCACCGCTTCTTTCTGATTTCCCCCTCCACTGGAATCTGGTTTGTTCTCTCCCACAGTACGTTGTTGCTGATGGTGTCTGGCCAACGAATACGAAGTATTTTGCGTAGACAACTGTTAATAAATACTTGTATCTTCTGAATGATGGCTTTGGTAGTTCTCCAAGTTTCCGCTCCATACAGTAGAACTGTCTTGACGTTTGTACTGAAAATCCTGATTTTGGTTTTGGTTGAAAGTTGTTTGGAGTTCCAGATATTTTTCAACTGTAGAAATGCAGCCCTCGCTTTGCCAATCCGCGCCCTCACATCTGCGTCCGATCCACCTTTCTCGTCGATGATGCTGCCAAGATATGTGAAGGTGTTAACGTCCTCCAAGGTATCTCCATCAAGAGTGATTCGGTTGGTGCATGTTGTGTTGCATCGGAGAGTTTTGCTTTTTCCTTTATGTATGTTGAGACCTACTGCTGCAGAGGCTGCTGCTACACTGGTCGTCTTCTCTTGCATTTGTTGTTGAGTGTGCGATAGAAGAGCCAAGTCATCTGCGAAGTCCAGATCGTCCAGCTGCGTCCTAATTGTCCAGTTGATACCGTGCTTCCCTCCAGATGTTGACGTTTTCATAATCCAGTCGATGACCAGGAGAAAGAGAAAGGGTGAGAGTAAGCAACCTTGCCTGACACCAGTCTTCACCTCAAAGGAGTCTGTTAGCTGTCCCCCGTGTACGATTTTGCAGTTGAATCCATCATAAGAATTCCGTATGATGTTAACTATTTTCTCAGGCACACCGTAGTGTCGAAGAAGCCTCCACAGTGTTTTCCTATCCACGCTATCGAATGCTTTCTCGTAGTCGATGAAGTTGATGTAGAGTGGTGAGTTCCATTCAATTGATTGTTCCACAATGATTCGTAATGTAGCGATTTGGTCGGTACATGATCGATCCTTACGAAATCCAGCCTGTTGATCTCGAAGTTGGGCTTCTACGAATTCCTTTATTCTGTTTAACAATACCCTTTTGAAGACTTTGCCTGGTAATGAAAGAAGAGTGATGCCTCTGTAGTTCTCACACTTGCTGAGATCGCCTTTCTTTGGTATTTTGATGAGGTATCCTTCTTTCCAATCTGATGGTACTTGTTCCTCATCCCAAATCTTCTTGAAGAGAATGTGAAATATTTTCGCAGTTGCTTCTACATCTGCTTTCATTGCCTCTGCTGGGATGTTGTCTGGTCCTGCTGCTTTGCCGCTCTTGATTTGTCTGATGGCCATACTGATCTCCTCAATTGTAGGTGCGCCAATATTAATTGGGAGGTCCTTGGATGCTGCTTTGATGTTGGGTGTGTTCAACGGAGCTGGTTGATTCAACAGTTCCTTAAAGTCCTCTACACACCTATTTCGCTGTTCTTCAATGTTGTTGATTATATTTCCTTCCTTGCTTTTCACTGGTCGTTCTGGTTTACGATAGTTTCCGGCGAGCTTCTTTGTTGTTTCGTACATTTGTCTCAAGTTTCCGTCTCTTGCAGCCTTTTCCGCCGTCATTGCTAGATCTTCCACATATTTTCGTTTGTCAGCTCTGAAGCTCTTCTTCACTTCCCTGTTTGCTTCTGTGTCTGCAGCTTTTGCCTTAACTTTCTCTGCTCTTGTTCGGCTGACATTGATTGCTTCCTTCTTGTTCCTCCTTTCTTGGATTTTTGCAAGAGTACCAAGAGAAATCCATTCCTTGTGATGTTACTTGTTGTGACCCAGAACTTCGTGACATGTTGAAGTGATTGCCTCCTTGATCCCTTTCCAATTGTTCTCCAATGCTGCTTCCTCTCCATTGAGTATATCGTGCAAGGCCCGGAACCTATTGGTGAGGGCTACCTTGAATTCGTTGAGTTTCACGGTATCCCGAAGAAAGGCTGTATTAAACTTCTGTGATGTTGTCTGCCCCGTTGTCCAGTGCTTCTTTAGCTTCAGTTTCATTTTGGCGACCAGCGAATGGTGATCTGAAGCTATATCAGCTCCTCTCTTGGTTCTCACATCCTCCATGGTCCTTCTGAACTTTTTGTTGATACATATATGGTCAATTTGGTTCTGAGTAGTGTGATTCGGTGAAATCCATGTGGCTTTGTGTATGCGTTTGTGCGGGAATATTGCACCACCGATGACCAGTTTGTTGAAGGCACATAGGTTCGCAAATCTCTCACCGTTTTCGTTCCTTTCTCCCAGTCCATGTCGTCCCATGATGTCTTCATGTCCAGTGTTGTCCATGCCAACCTTGGCATTCAGGTCTCCCATCAGAATCGTCCAATCCTTTGGTGCGCATCTGTGAACGATTGACTGCAGCCTTTCGTAGGATTGATCTTAAACGTTGTCATTGTAGTCATTGGTAGGTGCATAACATTGGATGACGTTCATTGTAATGTCCACTTTCTTTGTTTTGAAGGATGCTTTAATGATCATGGGTCCATGAGATTCCCATTCTATCACTGCCTTTCGTGCATGTTTGGACAGCATCAGTGCAACTCCTTGTGTATGTGAAGCATTTTCTTCTTCATGACCAGAGTATAACAGCAGTTTCCCTGAAGCTAGTCTCAGTTGTCCTACTTGTTTTCAGTGTGTTCCACTGATGCCGAGCACCTCGAGGTTGTATCTTTTCATTTCTGCCACAACTTGAAATAGTCTTCCAGTCTCCCACAATGTACGAACGTTCCATGTACCTAAAAGAATGGTTGCTCTGGTTGTCAGAAGAGTAATCGGCCTCGTGACTTCCGAGGGAACTCGGCTTTCATCACGCGACGACATAATTCTTCTTCCAACTCCCAGGGCAGAGTTAAAATGGTTTGAATTATTTTTTCTGGTTAGCGTTTTTCGGCAAGTTAGTTTATAGTTGGGATGTGCGCGCCAACCCATGCCCAACCCCTCCTCCTTTATCTGGGCTGGGGACCGGCAGTAGCCCCTAAGGGTCTACAGGCGGAGTTAAAAATAATCATATTGGCATATAATTTTTTTACAACAATTATGATTTATTGTAACTTTTCAATTTAATTTCAATTTTTTCATTGATTATTTCTCAGAATTTTAGTACCTCTACAATCGTTGACATTATTGGTATGGTGGATATATGAATCTATCACAGTTGACCCTAACTGGTATGTTTTAGGTTGGGATACTTTATCAACGACTTTACTGGAAGTAAGCGAAAACCTCTTTCCTATAGTTATTTTATAGTAGATTTGAATAATATTATTATTGTATCAGAAATTTATTTGAACACATGTCCAAAAAGTAATCTACAGCAAACTATTGCAAAAGAAATAAATGTATATCAAATTGATACAATGTGGTTGCCCTGGAATCCAGGACCCGAGTTTCGTCCTATTTGAGTTGGATGTACCTTCATCTCGGAACTTATGTCCACTTCAGGACTCGAACTCGTTCAAACCGTTCGCTTCAAACTTCATCACGTCCTGGATTTCAGCGCTAGCAACATTCTACTCAATTTATGTGCCATAACGGTTGTATCAAGGCAATCAGGCCAAACAAGACTGATCGAATTTTAGTCAAAGTATCAACAACAAGTTATTTCAAACTGGATCAATTAAAATAAACTCTTTTAAGAGGATGATCTAGAATTTTTAATCAGCAAACCTATTTACTGACCAATTGATTTAGATACAGAAGAATAATGGATTTATTATTATATAAAACTAAGTAATACTTTATGATCGACGATCACATTTAATCACTCTTAGCACAGAATTATTCAACGTTTATTTTATCTTGATAGGCAGTGTACATTATCAAACTAACGAAAACCTTCAGAGAGCAAGTTAGATTTTTGAATGACGTTACAAATTGCGTACCGGCTTGTCTATTCTAATTAGCCAGTAACGTATTTTTAGCATATTAGTAATCAAAGTAAACCATTTCAAGTAAAGCATCCCAAGAATTTTACAGAAGTTTTATGATTACTTATGGAAATAAATCGTCTTTTACACATTAACATAAGAATTCTATGATGAGAAGTCTAAAACTGTCATATTTTCTATCAATAAAACATATCTTTGTGATAAGATACTGATCTGTCATTTCGAGTCATTTACAAGTGTAAAGCATTTATGTATAAAATTAATTATTCGCTGTTCTAAAGCTCTCTACTTGTAAGTGCAGATATGTTCACTAATATATATTATGAAATCTCTATAGTTCATATTTTCCTATAAGATTAACAAAAAAACAAATGATTATTGAATTTTTCATTCGTCATTTAACTTATTCAACTCATTTTGTTTAACTGAAATATTCGTTCACACCTATATTGTTTTAATTTTACCTTTCATAGTGGTTGATAGTGGTGATTGCTTTATTGGCACTTAATTGGATTCTCTATCGAACAAACGTACTAGGTGCAGCTTTGAAAAGATCGCATGGATGTGATCCGTACGATCCATCTACTTATTCTAAAAAAGATGAATTTCAAATTGATGATATTGAAGTAGAAGAAATGAATATATTTAACTCTAGTAATACAGTGCAAACACGCCTTTGAAAAAAAGGTAATGCATATATGACAACGAAAATTTCAATATTTGTAAACTGTAATTTATTATGTTTCCCATAAATTTTTTATCATAAAACAGTTTGAAACTTCTTTTTTTTCTTATCACTTGTACTATTTACATTCAGATTTCTAAAAAAAATTAAATGAATGAATAAATGCCTTTTGTTTTGATTTCACACTTACAACCGATAAGTCAACTTTATCGATCACTTTTTCACAGACGCTGATGTCAGTCACTTTTATTAGTAGACAGAGAGATTGTTTTTATGTAATTTGTCATTCATCTTGTGTACACTCCTGTACTTCGTGTAAGTTACATAATCATTCCTGAATATCGTAAATTCTCTGTTTGTACGAACGAAAAAATGACCAACAAAATTTATGGAATCAGATGAATTTACTCTAAATTATGGTAACCTATCACAACTAATAACATTTTGAAATCATAATAAGTATTAGTAACAAAGTTAGACTTAAGACAATAAAATGATAAGCCTAACAGCCAAGCTAAATGATAAAGAAAACAGTTAGATTCCATAACTATAAACAGTTAATGTCGGAAAAGCAAAGAAGTAGAATGAAGCAAAGTATTACCATTCAGACAGTTAAACAAGGTGAGAAGTGTTAACCAAACTGTATGAATGATTTTATTACTAAAATATAGTAAGAAATAATACAACTGAAACTTTATGAGAGTGCAGTTATCTAGTACATAAAAAATTGCCTGTACTGTCTATGTACAAAAGTACTGCTCTCATCAATTAACAATTCAGTATAGTGCAAGTAAAGTCGAGCTGCTTAGACTAGTGGATACATTGTGAATTGTTCAACAGAGTTTGATTAGTATGAAAAGGACCCGACCAAAACAACGTTTACCGCTCACTATTCAATGACTATGGATTGTAGAAATAATCTTATTCTTTTGTAAGACATCAAACTCATTTGTAAACATCTATGCACATACAAGATCAGGCTTACGCCAGCCACTCAACTCAATTTCTTTATGATATCAAACAGTGAAAGGTCCATCCTCATGACAGCATCATTCGCATCGACTTTACAAATAAACCTGGTTGACGAATACCAACTAGTACAAAACATATGTCAATCATGTAAGCATTTCTAAAGCATTAAAATTAAAATTTTTTGGCTTAAAATTATTTTCTACAATAAAATTATTGAACTGTAAAATTCTACGATTAGTAGTATGATCTTTCATTGATTTATTATGACAGAATATTTCTCTCTGTTGAAAAGTCATGAAATGTTACTACACATTCGTTAAGTAAAACTTGTTTCATTATACTAACTTTCTTTAAGTTTATAAAATAAATCAGAAATATAAGAACTTTCGTGTGTAACTATAATCATCAAGAATATTACTAAAGAGTAAAAGAGTTTTTACAAATCAACATATTTTTCAACATTATCAGCATAATAATTAATCAAAGGTAGAAATACTTACCAAATCGTATTAAAAAATAGTTATTAATAGTCAAATTAATCTGAGTAAATTTTTTTTCTCAAGTAAAACAATTTTTTTTAAATAAAATTTAAATTTATTTTATTTCAAATTTTCACATTAATTATGAACACTTCGAAATTATAGTGAGTAATACGATTTCAAACAAAAGTGGGACATACTTCATGTAACAGTTGAGAAGAAAGTTTGCTATAAAAACAAACATAGATTGTCGACGAAAACATTATTTGAAATCATTAATCAATCATCATTGTTAGACCACCGGCCCAGTGGTCCGATGGTAAGGCGTTCGCCTACAATGCCAAAGGTCCCAGGTGCGAATCCTGCGAGGAGCAGGAGTCGTGGATGCGCACTGCTGAGGAGTCCCATACTAGGACGAAACGGCCGTCCAGTGCTTCCAGGTTTCTAATGGTGGTCTAACAATGATGATTGATTAATGATTTCAAATGTGTAAAAACGCAAACCTCCAAAACTGTGCCCCAATTGAAAACATTATTGTTGATATTGGTACGTAATTTAATGTTGAAAATCTCACCAAATGAATATGAACTTACATTTATGGGCTCGGGTTTCTGCTTTTTCTGCATACATTTTCTGTATGATCACTTTGGCTTCAGTAAATTCAGGTGAAGATTATGTTTCTTGATTGAAGTAGATGAAGACACTAGCCGTTCACTACTGAATCAGTGTGTGACCACCTCACTTGTGAGCGTTTAGAAGAACTCCCTTCTGACTACTTCGAATATGCTTTCTTCTAAAATTGATAAACTAGGCCGGATGTGACCTGAGATGTATAATGGAACACCTTTGGTTGTTTAAGTTTGCATTTTTTTATCACACTGAATTTCCTTGAGCTAAGGTTAAACTGTTTTTTTTGAGTACTGCCTTGATCCTCCCATCGATTTTTCTCTGAATCAAAAACTTTGAAAGGCAAGTTGTCATTTGAGAGTTGCATAATTAGGATATTAATTTTCGTACTTCGTAATAAATTTCCTAAGTGATCACTTTTTCATTAGGCATAGTCAACTAGTCATCAAACTTAAAATGTACCTATCCCCTCTTCAATCCAGCCAATGCAAAGGAATTTCAACCTACATTCATTTCAAATGCATCGACACATAAATTTCATTTCTGAACCAGTCTCAGACAAAAAAGTTTTAGTATTTTTTCTGTGCTACAAATAAATGAATTTTTTCTTCAAATATCTTTACTTTGTTGACTGTATTCTTATCCTCAAATCAGTTAAAATACATTTCAACCCCTTAGCAAGTGATAACTTTTGTTTCGTTTACATGCCTGGTATATCCTCATAGTGCCTAAATTTGATATTAGGGTTCTAATATATAAGTGAGTTTCACTTTTTACTACAGTAAAATGGAGCTTTTTAAAATGAGTCTGTTAATTCTTTTCTTTTAAATATTCGATAAGACGGTAAGTTTAGCTGAACTTTCACTGGTTATATTATTCAAAGGTTATTTAAAAAAAATTTTATGCTAAATTTCTTGGTAGTAAACACTGCCACTTTATAGGCCACATTATAGTTTCAAAATTTGTCTATTAAATTCTTACTTTTTTGTGTCACACGTAATTGATATCCTGTCAATATATATATCGATGGCTGCATACTTTCAACAATTTGAATGTTTTTTAGTGGTCTTCATGCAAATGTCTTCTAGCAGACAACTTAAGAAAGAAATTCTGTTGCATTTCTCTATCACTGTGAATAAACTTTTATTAAATAAGTAAACACTATATAATTAATAGTTGAATAGGATTCCAATGCAATTTTTTCAATGGCAAGTTGATGATGATGGAACACCAGTTTTTCTCAGTCGAGACACCAAGTCTTCTTCATTAGTTATTTGTTTAACAATAAGACAACATGCAGGAAGATAATTTAAATTTACTTCACGTTGCATATGTCTCACTTATTTTTATCGTTAAATGCATTATTAGTTAGCTTCAATGAAATTTTCTGAGAATGGTTATCATATTCTATCATAATTATTATAATGAATGTGTTTCATTAAAAGTGTTCTTACATGTGAACATGTTTTTGGAGAAAGCTTTACTTTCTATTTTCTGATCAGTTTCACTTAGTTACCAATTGACTGAAATATACTCGTCTTAGATCATGAAATTACATGATCGTTAAAAATCACTGATCACCTAATCATAAACTTTTGTAGGTGACTGGTTATTGTGAACAATTTTCCACTCGCTAAGAATTATTTTATAAGTAATTTTGGGGCATAGGTGATGAGCATTTTATAGAAGGGTTCATACAACCGACCCTTTGTAATCTATGGGCTAAAATGTTAAGTAACTAAGACAAAGATCATACTGTTACTTATTTTGAGTTCTAAAAACCGTGGATCAATTTTTCTATCCGTTTCAGTACACATCATGCATACCGATGATAGCTTCAGCAGAACCACTGACATCTCTTTAAATACTGGAAATAAGTTTCTTGGGTATTTAGTTTGATGCTTTAAATGAAATCTTAGTCTTTTCCACGACAAGGTGCAGTTAGCATGAAAACCGGAGATGGAGGAATGAATAGACAGACGTTTATTACACACTTCTTCAAATCATACGAGTTTGAAACCTACACAGATCAATTTTTGTAAACAATGTTTGCTTTCGTACTTGAGTGGATGATCTTTCTTCATTTTGTACGCAAGTGAATTTATGCAAGTAAATTTAGGTGAGACGTTTGTATATAATGACGAATGTTTTGTACATTGTTAAGCTGTGTTCTTCATCTTCAGCTTGATTCATTCTGAAATGTGAAAGCTTGCAGTGGTTAGCTTTGATAGTTACTAGCTCGCGTACTACATCATACTCCAGAATAGCTTTGTTAACCAAATATACCTCTGCTAATATTTCACCGTAATTTATATTACTTAAAGTAGATAACGTCGATCTGTCTAAATTATCTACCTGCTTAAATATGACTGATTACCATTAATTTAAGTGTGTTAACAGCCGGTTTAAATACGTACTGTTTTTAATAATGTGAAAATTATTGATTAGTTACTATTGACTGATTTTATGATACTTAAAGAAAATATAATTTTCTCTTTTTTTCATGCAGGGTGACTTATTATAAAAAAAAGCTCATAATAAAGCTTGTGATATTTATTATATTCTGTAAAATACTATGGAATGTTCATATTAAAATGGTGGTTATGTTGGTATGAAGTTATTATGCTTTTAATTAAACAGTGATTAAAAAACATTTTCCTTAACACATGAACTTTTAGTCAACTAAAAATAAAGTAAGATCACTCTTGTTACTTGGACAAGTTGCCAATAGTATTCTTTGTTCATCTAATATACTTAAACCGCAAATATCTAAAGCAGTAGCTTAAAATATTTATTAAATGTCTATAAATTTGCCATCAGCATACATACAAGTCGATGATTAGCTAATAAAAACAAACTAGTAGTAACCGGCTATTGAATATTTACCGAAAAAACTCTCTCAAATAATGAAATATTCAGCTGTATATTTTAAACAAATAAGAAGAAAACTCATCGCTTGTTATACGAATGCATCTTATGAATTTATACACTTGTGATATATATATATATGCCTGATCCCACCTCAAGTCAGAGTAGTAAATCAAAATCAACATACAGTAT